CACATTTTTTTAAAATCCAGTCTATCTTTGATGGGCATTTGGGTTGGTTCCAAGTCTTTGCTATTGTTAACAGTGCTGCAATGAACATACATGTGCCTGTGTCCTTATATGGATTTATAATCCTTTGGGTATATACCCAGTAATGGAATTTGTGGGTCAAATAATATTTCTATTTCTAGATCCTTGAGGAACTGCCACATTGTCTTCCACAATGGTTGAACTAATTTACACTCCCACCAACAGTGTAAAAAGCATTTCTATTTCTCCACATCCTCTCCAGCATCTGTTGTCTCCATAAAAAAAATATTTTTTAATGTTTGCCATTCTAACTGGCATGAGATGGTATCTCAATGTGATTTTGATTTGCATTTCTCTAATGACCAGTGATGATGAGCATTTTTTCATATGTTTGTGGGCCACATAAATGTCTTCCTTTGAAAAGTATCTGTTCATATCTTTTGCCTACTCTTTGATGGAGTTGTTTTTTTCTTGTATATTTGTTTTAGTTCTTTGTAGATTCTAGATATTAGCCCTCTGTCAGATGGGTAGCTTGCAAAATATTTTTCCCATTCTGTTGGTTGCTGCTTCACTCTGATGGTTGTTTCTTTTGCTGTGCAGAAGCTCTGGAGTTTAATTAGATCCCATTTGTCTATTTTGGCTTCTCTCCTCTATTTTTAAAAACCACTGTTGTAGTTACAATGGGCCTACCCGGATAAGACAGAATAACCTCCCTATCTTAAATTCAGTTAATTAGCAGCTCTAATTTCATCTGCTACCTAAATTCCTCTTTGCCATGTAACCTAATGTATTCATAGGCTCTGGGAATTAGGACTTAGATATCTCTGGGAGCCATTATTCTACCTACCATACCTTCTAAGCTAGAAGTTATAAAATCTCTCTATTATTTATTTTAAGCTACAATATCTCTCCAAGATCATGAAGCCTTGCACTGAGAGAGAAATAGAATCAACATTTAGAGTAAAGGGTCGTTCAATGTCACCTAGTCCAGTCCTCTCTTTTTTACATGAGGAAGAGAAACAGAAGCTGATTAAGTAGCTGGCCACCATCACAGTGAGTGAATGTCACAGTGGTTAGAATGGAATTAGAACAGTTTATATGAAAGCATGAAAAGGGATTACTAGTATCAAGGATAGTCTTTCATGTGTGTTACATGATTAGACCTATAATTTTTATTTCTCAACATGTTAAAAACTTTACATGATACGTGTCTCATTCAAAATAACAACATATTTTGCCATTCTTTGGTGATCCACCTGCCACCTGCTCTGACTCTCACCCATTCATTGGTAGAAATAAGATAAGTTAACCACATGATTTTTTTTATTGCATTTTAAGTTTTGGGGTACATGTGCAGAACATGCAAGATAGTTGCATAAGTACACACGTGGCAGTGTGATTTGCTGTCTTCCTCCCCTTTACCCACGTCTGGCATTTCTCCCCATGCTATCCCTCCCCAGCTCCCCCCACCGCCGCTGTCCCTCCCCTATTCCCCCCAATAGACCCCAGTGTGTAGTGCTCCCCTCCCTGTGTCCATGTGTTCTCATTGTTCATCACCCACCTATGAGTGAGAATATGCAGTATTTCATTTTCTGTTATTGTGTCAGTTTGCTGAGAATGATGTTCTCCAGATTCATCCATGTCCCTACAAAGGACATGAACTCAATCGTTTTTGATTGCTACATAATATTCCATGGTGTATATGTGCCACATTTTCCCAGTCCAGTCTATCATCAATGGGCATTTGGGTTGGTTCCAGGTCTTTGCTGTTGTAAACAGTGCTGCATTGAACATTTGTGTGCATGTATCCTTATAGTAGAACGATTTATAGTCCTTTGGATATATACCCAGTAATGGGATTGCTGGGTCAAATGGAATTTCTATTTCTAGGTCCTTGAGGAATCGCCACACTGTCTTCCACAATGGTTGAACTAATTTACACTCCTACCAACAGTGTAAAAGTGTTCCTATTTCTCCACATCCTCTCCAGCATCTGTTGTCTCCAGATTTTTTAATGATCACCATTCTAACTGGTGTGAGATGGTATCTCGGTATGGTTTTGATTTGCATTTCTCTGATGACCAGTGATGATGAGCATTTTTTCATATGTTTGTTGGCCTCATGTATGTCTTCTTTTGTAAAGTGTCTGTTCATATCCTTTGCCCATTTTTGAATGGGCTTTTTTGTTTTTTTCTTGTAAATCTGTTTGAGTTCTTTGTGAATTCTGGATATCAGCCTTTTGTCAGATGAGTAAACTGCAAAAATTTTTTCCTATTCTGTTGGTTGCCAATTCACTCTAGTGATTGTTTCTTTTGCCGTGCAGAAGCTGTGGAGTTTGTTTAGGTCCCATTTGTCTATTTTGGCTTATGTTGCCAATGCTTTTGGTGTTTTGGTCATGAAGTCCTTGCCTACTCCTATGTCCTGAATTGTTTTGCCTAGATTTCCTTCTAGGGTTTTTATGGTGCCAGGTCTTATGTTTAAGTCTTTAATCCATCTGGAGTTAATTTTAGTGTAAGGTGTCAGGAAGGGGTCCAGTTTCTGCTTTCTGCACATGGCTAGCCAGTTTTCCCAACACCATTTATTAAACAGGGAATCCTTTCCCCATTGCTTGTTTTTGTCAGGTTTATCAAAGATTGTATGGTAGTAGATATGCTGTGTTGCCTCCGATGCCTCTGTTCTGTTCCATTGGTCTATATCTCTGTTTTGGTACCAGTACCATGCTGTTTTGATTACTGTAGCCTTGTAGTATAGTTTGAAGTCTGGTAGTGTGATGCCTCCCGCTGTTTCTTTTTTGCTTAGAATTGACTTGGCTATGAGGGCTCTCTTTTTGTTCCATATGAAGTTCATGGTGGTTTTTTCCAGTTCTGTGAAAAAAGTCAATGGTAGCTTGATGGGGATAGCATTGAGTCTGTAAATTACTTTGGGCAGTGTGGCAATTTTCATGATATTGATTCTTCCTAACCATGAAGATGGAATGTTTCTCCATCTGTTTGTGTCCTCTCTTATTTCGTTGAGCAGTGGTTTGTAGTTCTCCTTGAAGAGGTCCCTTACATTCCTTGTTAGTTGTATTCCTAGGTATTTTATTCTCTTTGTAGCAATTGTGAATGGCAGTTCGTTCTTGATTTGGTTCTCTTTAAGTCTGTTATTGTTGTATAGGAATGCTTGTGATTTTTGCACATTGATTTTGTATGCTGAGACTTGGCTGAAGTTGCTTATCAGTTTAAGGAGATTTTGGGCTGAGACGATGGGGTCTTCTAGATATACTATCATGTCGTCTGCAAATAGAGACAATTTGGCTTCCTCCTTTCCTATTTGTATACCCATTATTTCTTTTTCTTGCCTGATTGCTCTGGCTAGAACTTCCAGTACTATATTGAATAGGAGTGGTGAGAGAGGGCATCCTTGTCTAGTGCCAGATTTCAAAGGGAATGCTTCCAGTTTTGGTCCATTCAGTATGATATCGGCTGTTGGTTTGTCATAAATAGCTTTTATTATTTTGAGATACGTTCCATCAATACCAAGTTTATTGAGTAGATTTAGCATAAAGGGCTGTTGAATTTTGTCAAAGGCCTTCTCTGTGTCAATTGAGATAATCATGTGGTTTTTGTTTTTGGTTCTGTTTATGTGGTGAATTACGTTTATAGACTTGCATATGTTGAACCAGCCTTGCATCCCTGGGATGAATCCTACTTGATCATGGTGGATAAGCTTTTTGATGTGCTGTTGCAATCGGCTTGCCAGTATTTTATTGAAGATTTTTGCATCTATGTTCATTATGGATATTGATTGGCCTGAAGTTTTCTTTTCTTGTTGAGTCTCTGCCGGGTTTTGGTATCAGAATGATGTTGGTCTCAGAAAATGATTTGGGAAGATTCTGTCTATTGAATTATTTGGAATAGTTTCAGAAGGAATGGTACCAGCTCCTCTTTGTGTGTCTGGTAGAATTTGGCTGTGAACCCATCTGGACCTGGGCTTTTTTTGTGTGGTAGGCTCTTAATTGCTGCCTCAACTTCAGACCTTGTTATGGGTCTATTCATAGTTTCGGCTTCCTCCTGGTTTAGGCTTGGGAGGACACAGGTGTCTAGGAATTTATCCATTTCTTCCAGGTTTACTAGTTTATGTGCATAGAGTTGTTTGTAATATTCTCTGATGATGGTTTGAATTTCTGTGGAATCTGTGGTGATAGCCCCTTTATCGTTTTTTATTGCATCTATTTGGTTATTCTGTCTTTTCTTTTTTATCAATCTGGCTAGTGGTCTGTCTATTTTGTTGATCTTTTCAAAAAACCAGCTCTTGGATTTATTGATTTTTTGAAGGGTTTTTCTTGTCTCTATCTCCTTCAGTTCTGCTCTGATCTTAGTTATTTCTTGTCTTCTGCTAGGTTTTGAGTTTTTTTGATTTGCTCCTCCAGCTCTTTCAATTTTGATGATAGGGTGTCAATTTTGGATCTCTCCACTCTTCTCATGTGGGCACTTATTGCTATATATTTTCCTCTAGAGACTGCTTTAAATGTGTCCCAGAGATTCTGGTATGTTGTGTCTTCATTCTCGTTGGTTTTGAAGAACTTCTTTATTTCTGTCTTCATTTCATTGTTTATCCAGTCAACATTCAAGAGCCAGTTGTTCAGTTTCCATGAAGCTGTGCGGTTCTGAGTTCGTTTCTGAATTCTGAGTTCTAACTTGATTGCACTACGGTCTGAGAGACTGTGTGTTATAATTTCAGTTGTTTTGCATTTGCTGAGGAGTGACTTACTTCCAATTATGAACCACATGATTGTTTGCCAAAAATAAGTTTTGAATCATGAAAAAGAATTTTAAGAACCACTGTGATAGACCACCATGTCATGCTTTCTTTAAATCCTAGATACTATAATTGATTTAATGGCAAGTTATGGTTTTTGTACTTAGTCTTGCCCCACTTCCTGATTGTGAGTGATTCACTGGATTCTCTCCCTCTTCTCCACCTTGTTTTCCTACTTCCAGAGGCTGTGTCATTGGACCAACCTTCCATTTTAATGTTCCGGCTCTGCACTTTGGTGATGTTTCCTTTGGTGAGTAATTTTCCATTTTAAATTAGAACTCCAATAGGATTCCTTTTCTCCACATGGGAGGAGGAAGGTTTACAAAGAACCCTCCTTCCACAGCACTGGAATACAAAGCCCAGCACAAGGACATTCAGAACATGTGCCCTGTATCTCATTGCCCCGCATAAGATGCAGTTCACATAACCGTCCCAAGTCAGTTACCCCAAGAAATTTCATACCAATTCATTGGATTCTACTCTATTGTTCAGTTCTGAAATGTTAATGTAAATGCTGTATACCAGCGGTAAGCCCATTATTGAGCTCCACGAATATCTGAAGATGCCAAAATGCCACTAATTTCCTCAAAATGCTGTTTTGCTTTGAAGTATCTACAGTTTCCAGTGAATACCAATGACCATAAATACATCACAAACACAGGGGTTTAAAGTGCAGGTACTGATTTTTATAAAGGGGCTACTTCTAACATGAATAACTTCATTTAATGTGCTCCAAGTTGAGTAGTACATATCACTAGTGATTTCTAGTTACAGTTTTAACAGTGGTGGCAGCAGAAGACAGATTGTGGTAAGATAAAAAAATTGTAAAGATACTCAAAGTAATATGTATTTGGCAGAGTGTAGTCACTCTCTTAACTATACCTATCAGACAGATTTTGTTTATAAGAAATTATCATCACTGGCTAAAGAGTTTTTATGGTAGCTCTGTAATTTAAAAATAAATACATTTATGTTGAACATTTGATATGTTCCTTTTGCATGATCCTTAGATGGAGCATGAGTTGTAGATCCTAGATGTGGTTGTTCAGTCCCCATCCATTACCTACCCTCATTCTACAGCTTGGCAACTGTGTCTCTTCTACACTGACATAAGACTAGAGATTTATACATGAAGTGGATGAGCCAAAGGGTTTATGGATTGATTGCTGGACCCCAGGTGTAGCTGAGAGGAGGAATATTGATATCAAGGACTTAAGTACAAGTCAGCATCGCAAATTGTGAGACTCCTCTGTGCCTTATCTGTCTCCTCCACTTGAGCTCCCCAAACACTGACAGGCATAAAACTTACATATTGACAATTAACTAATGTTGAGAAATTCATCCAGAATGTAGCACTGAAAGCCAAAGAGTTAGACTATATGAAAGAGAAATAAAGGGACATGGAATATTGATTTGATTTAAAAGTTCTAACATGTATCTAATAGAAATTCTAGATGGAGAAAGAATGAAAATGGCCAAAGAGCAATATTTGAAGAAATGGTGGCTGAGAATTTTTTAACTGAAGAAAAACATTTGTCCTTATAGTATGCAGCTGGATGCTCCTTCAATTCTGTGGTTCCGTCATAGGTAGCATGTAACTTCCATGTCTTGGTCAAGATATCTGCCCTAACCTTAGCTATCATACTCAATTCCAGCCAGCAGAAAGGAGGAAGAGACAGGAAAAGGGTACACCTTTTCCCTTTAAGGACACTTCCTAGAAGTTGCACATACCATATATGGTTATATCACATTGGTGAGTACTTAGCTGTGTGGCCACAACCAGGCTGCACATAAGACTAGGAAATACAGCCTCATTCTGGGTGGCCACATTCACAACCAAAATTTAGAGATTTTGTTACTTCCTGAAGAAGGTAAAGGATAGTGGGAGATAACCAGCAATTTTGTGGTAACTTAGCAAATCTGGCCAACATCAATTAAGAAACAGCCAGGCATAGTAGTTCACATCTATAATCTCGGCACTTTGGGAGGCCAGGGCGGGAGGACTGCTTGAGCCCAGGAGTTCAAGACCAGCCCAGAAAACATAGCAAGACCCCATCTCTACAAAAAATAAAATAATTAGCTGGGTGTAGTGGTACATACCTGTAGCCCCAGCTACTTAAGAGGCTGAAGCAAGAGAATCGCTTGAGCCCAGGAGGTGGAGGCTGCAGGGAGCTGTAATTGCACCATTGCACTTCAGCCTGGACAAAGGAGCAAGACTCTAAACAACAACAACAACAAGAACAAACCCTCATAACTCTCATTAGGAACCAGGAAAGAAAGAAAATTGCAGATATTTAAGGCAATAAAAACAGATAAGAGAATGCTATATACAACTCCATAAAACAATAGGAGAAATGGATGAGTTGGAGAAAAATATGTTATTAAAATTGCCACAAGAAGTAGAAAACCTCAATAGAAAAGTAATCGCAGAATAAACTGGAAAAGAAGTCAAGTATCTACCCCTCAACAAAAGGCACTAGGTCAAACAGTTTTACAAGTGAGTTCTACTAAATGGTGAAGAAATGGATGTATCTCACATCACAGAAATATGTAGAAAGCTATTAACTCATTTTAGGAGACAAATATATTCACAGTAAAACAACACAAGAAAAAAAAAATACAGACCAATCTCACTTATGAACATTGATTATAAAGCATTAGCAAATTACATGCATAGAGATGTATTTTTTAAATTGCATCATGACTAAGTAGGATTTATCCCAGAAATGCAAAAATGGTTCAATAACAAACAGGAAATCCAATCATGTAATTTACCACAATTTATATCATCTCAGTTCATACTGAGAAAAATACTCCACAAAATCCAACACTCATTCATAATTAAAAAAAAAATTCTTAGAAAACTAGAAGTAGGAGGGAAACTCCTTTGTATGAAACTCCTTTGTATGAAGGAAAATGTATTTAATAGAGACCTTTATTTATTCACTTAGTAACCTTCATTTAGTAATAATCATTTAGCTGTGTTCTAGACACTATTCTGGGGACTGGGATATTGCAATTAAATGTTGAAAGCATTCTTATTTATTTTCAGAGGCAAAAAAACAAAAACCTATTGTCAAGGTATCATACAACATTGTCCTGGAGGTCCTAGCCAATGTGATAAGGAAATAAAAGATATGTAGTTGAAAAGAAAAAAGCCAAAACTATTATGGTTTATAGAATGTGTTATTCTCTGCCTAGAAAAACTGTAATTTACCAGTAATTAACTGGTAAATTTGTCAGTAATTAACCGACAGAGCATTCGAACTTACAAGAGTTTAGCAATATATTCAAACAAAATATTATTAAAAAGTATTTCTTTAACATAGCAGCAATGGTTAACTGGAAAATATAATAGAAAAATATCATTTAAGAATATAAAACTGTATAATAACCTAACAATAAATGTGCAAACACTACAGGAAGAGGATAATTGGTTAATTCCCTAGGGAGAAATTCACAGAAGAGCCAATAAATTTTTGAAACAAAGATCAGTGACTGTGGACTTTATCAGATATGAAAATGTACTTTAAAGCATAGGCAAATAGACTAATAGAAACAAAGCCATGACTATAGGGGAATGTATACATGCTCAGTATGAAATATCAGATCTGTAGAGGAATGAAAGTCTTAAACAAGATGCCCAATGTAAAAGCCATAAAGAAACAAGTTGGTTTCTTTAACCTTTTTCCTAGCATTAAGAAAATTTCCAGACAAAAAGATTTTGTGAATGCAGTAAAAAGACAATGCTTGCAACATAAATAATAGGCAAAGCATTAAAATCAGAATACATGAAGCTTTGGAATACATGAAACCAACTCTTGCCAATCCATGAGGAAAAGTTAAATTATCCAATAGAAAAATTGGCAAAATAGATGAATAGACATGTATGAATTGGTAAGTGTGTAAACAGAATAGAAGGTCTATGAAAGATATTAAAAGATGCTTAATCTTAATCATATTAGATGTTTTTTGCAAAGAAAATATAAGTAGTTTTTATAATCCATCTAGTGTTTTTCATGTGTTCCCACCCTATCAAGCAAGTGTGGCAGGAGTTGGGGAGCGCTGAGACACTGGTCTGTGGGTGTCTCGTGAAGCTAACCACTTACCCATGGTGCCCATTTCTACTGAGGTATTGCTGGAGCACTGATGGCTTATCCTTTTGGCTCCATCAGAGCCGACACTGACTTGGCTTCCATTGACTCCATCCTCCCTAGAGCTAGGCCTGTGCTTTTTTTAGGAGGCTACTGAGCACATTGAAATGTTTAACCGATATTTCTGACATATTCGGTTAAATACACCATGTTGTTAAAATTAATGTCACCTCTTTGTGTTTTGCATTGTATTTCCACTGGGCAGTGTTGAGCCAAACTGTCCTCTCCCTTCATAGCTACTGAGGTATGGTTGTCTGGCCTCTTGTGATGGCAGCCCTGTTTCAGACCCATGGCAAGTTTACTGTTCTCAACCCAGCTACCTTCCAGAACCATGAGTGGAAGGAAGTGGGTGCTGTGTATCCATGTGTAATGCCTGGGTCCTTCTCTAGCCACATGGGAACTGAGAGATATTCCAGTACTTTCTGCCTAACCATACCATTTTTATCCATAGTTAGCTGCCCCAGGCAGGTATGAGGATGTTCTGTGAAGTGGTCTGCTCTGAGATTCCCAACAAGACAGCCAGGCAGAAGTCCCTCTGCTTCCAGCATCCCCTCAACCTCTTTAGCCACCCTGTCCCTGAGATTCTGGCATGTAAGGGAGACGCCATGACGTACACATCTGGCCACTCAGTTATTCTTCTCCTTCCCACACTTCACTGAGACAGGAGTAGCCTTTCTACTTCCTCTTCCTGTTTGCCAGAACTCTCCTGTCATCACCTCCTTTTCCTATATGCTTATGCCAAATAAGAGAATAACCCATGTGTCCATTTCAAGGCTCTTATTCATTTTCAAAACAATGACACTGATAACATTATTCTCCATCAGATCTAGAGTGGGGTTTTTGATGTTGGGGAGCTCTGAGTCACACTCTAGATCACACAAAACCAGGTATGCATGCTCCAAGGTGGGATAGATTTTTCCCTTAACTGTCTTCCAATTAAACCTCCTTTATTAGGTTATCTTTCCTCCAGGAAAGGTTATCATTGGATAATTTATCCATAGTTTCCTTGAGCTATAGAAATAAAAATCAACAGCTTTTCCTTATAGCTGATTTGGTTAAAAGTTTTGGTAATTAACTTAGCCGAAAATTAGCAACA